ATTCTCAAAATTGGTTTTTAAAAATAAATTGATATGTTTCCACACATATTATTATACTTCTGACATAATAAAATTAAACATTATAGGGTTTTAATACGGAAACATTATTAAATTGCACATTACGTTTAACACGAAATACAAGAACCACTTCATTAAAAAAGTGTTTATATCTATTAAAATATATTTGTGAAATAAACTTACTCACTTTTACTTAAATTTTCTAAAGTGAGTCTGTAATGAATTGTATTAAATACGCATAAAACATATTTTTTAATGTAACAAGCTTACATCTACAATCTAAGACATGATACATCATCAAGTGACGTACTGCGATTCCATTCTGGCGGACTGTTTCTGTAACTTTTTTGTCATATATCCCAACAACACTGATGATTGTAAAAAGTCTAGCGGAAATACTGGTAAAAATGTCTAGCAAGTATAATTTCGTTTACAAATAAATGAACTACGTTTAATTTACCAGTGTGAGCTGTATACACTTTTCATAAGCGAGTTAATTCCCCATTATCCCTTCTAGTTGCAGTATCAGTGACGTGCAGAGCAAACAATTAGCCGTGCGCTCGACAGCCGAGGTGACTCGATCAACATTACCCTTTGCAAACTGAACCTTATTCCTATTTTCCTTTCTGCCCTTTTATAAAAGTCATCTAGTAGAATGGAAACAAGCTTTTTCGTTACAAAAATATAGTCACCTAAATAAAAGTTTGTTTAGAGTAGAATAGTGTACATTAAACGTCTAAATAAGTTTAGGTCGCATAGAGTAAAAAGTACCTGTACCTGTACCTACAAATTAAACGAAGGTTGTAGTAATTTTGTTTGTTATTTTCATTCAAGTTGTATACATCATTTTGCTCATACACGGGTCTAGAGCAAAATATGTATACAAAAATAAAAATTCCGAAAGTTGTACATTATTTAATTTCTGCTAATGTTTGTTATCTATTATTAGAATTAAAATTATAGTCAATTGCAATAGCTAATTTTGATGAACCAAATGTTTCTAAGTAAAACTATATACTAGTTCGTATGATGTCAAAACATTTATCGAGTTTGTAATTATAGTTTCATGTTAATTAATACATATTGCTATCAAAGAAAAATCTAAGTCTGATGAAATTATCAATATAACTACTTAATAATAATCATTAAATTTGCTGATACCTATTTTATTTCTTTTTGGGGTATGGTTTTCATATAGTACCGTTCATAGGTTGGTTGTATAAAGTTTACCTCTTCCCCTCTTTCTAGCTATTCACATATACGCAACATAAGCGTCCCTGTAAATTCCCTTACTTAATATACCTACACGCAGTTTTATTTGTACCATTTCTTTAAGTATTATTTTCGCACTTTATATGTAACTCTACCCGTTAGTAGGTATTGTATTCGCAATATATATATCACTTAGCGTAGCATATTACTTTCTATTAGTATATTTTTATGTAACTGAAATGACAAATATGTTAACGATCTACATGATAGTATCAGTATATACGTTTTAATTGAATTATAAATAAATATATATATTGATGTACATACATTTATGATTATTACGAGAGTGCCACTATTCGTTTCTTATCATTAATTTCTCTTCCCAAAGACAGTCAGAAGGTAAAATTAGTATTATTCTCCTGACGAATGATTAATGATGACGAATGTTGTCACTGATTTTACATCCATTTAGTTTGCCTAAACGTTATATGAAAGAAACGAAAATGTTTTCAATGGAGAGGAAGAAAATCATTTATTCAAATAAACTTAATTTAAGCACTTTTGAATAGTCATAACAATTTGTTTTTTATTAGTTAACTGTCTATAGAAACTTGTGTGTTGCTCTTTTGTGTATATCAATATGTTTGTATGTCTATGTCAACGCCAATCTTGAAGATATTTTCATAATTCTTTTAATGGATTAATTTGGAACTAACACTGTAACCAGTTCCAGATTCATAATAGCTGCGTCACTATTAAAATCCGTTTTTCGGGGAACAATGTTTTAAATTATCTAAATAAGCCTCACTATTATCATACCTATTATATATATATGAAAGTATATAGGTATACCAGGAACTGAAAGACCTTATTTATTTGCTCTACTGCTGATTTATGCTGATGACAATGGCGTTAATAGGATCTTGCTTACTGGACCATTCTAGCGACAAGCACATCATAACGAGGCCGTCTGTTTGCGTATCAAATATTTGATTTAACCCAAGAAGCGGTGAGATTCTCTTGGGCGTCCATAAAATCACCTATTTACGAGTATTGTCTTGATATCTAACGCACCTGTTAAATTTCCATCTGGGACCTTTGTTGTTGCAAAGTTTCGGCATAGTAAATCAACTATTGACTTACCGGACGAAACTTGTTTTATAGGAAAATAAGCAACATTAATCTATTCGGAAGCTAAACTTATTAATACAGAGCAGTCTTATAGGTGTAGTAAATCATTTAAAAGCCTGTGCTTCAATTTTGAAATATATTTAATTGAAATAATAAACAGGCTAACGTGCCACCTGATGTTAAGTGGTAACTGTAGGCTATACACATGAATGGCCATAACGTCATCATATTATTTATAATGCCCGTGGCACCACTTATCCATTGCCATTCCGGAGGACAAAGATGTCATATCTAAGTGTATTTCACGCTCCTATCTCTTTGAGTAAAACACATATTACAAAGCAAGCTGTTTGACCGTTGAAATAGGATAGTCAGGCATACGGAAAAAAAGACTTCGTACAAAAACTTAAAATGCTAACTGTTTCGGCGACCGATTGTCCCATCTTTTTTACGTGTCAAATGTAGACTAGTAAAAGGCTAGTTTTTACATTTTCATTTCCTTTTTCAACCCAATTCATTTAAATGCTACCAGTTTTTAAGTGGGCCGAGATTACTGACAACACTGTAGAAATTATGTTGCTAGTATTTAATAAATGGGATAGACCAACCTTAATCCACAGTTTATAACAATAATTTTAATACAAATACCTATTTATTTGTTCACAATTACCTACTTCCCAAGTAAAATCAGAATATTGTGAAGGAACAGTAATGTAAAGAAAATACCGAATTATTAATGTAATGAGACCTAAGTATACCTATACATCGGGAACATTAATGAACTTCACTTCAATTGTTGCCTGATAAGTAATTACAGTTATATCATATAAATTAGAGCAAGAAATTCATGTTAACGTCGAGACGCAAAAATAATTGGCTGTTGGCTCAAGGCCGACCTCTGTCATCGACAGTCAGACATCAAGTGTATATGAGAAAATACGTGAAATAAGGTCTGGGTTTCTTTTGTAAGTTCTATTATGTGGATACGTCATTACAAGTAATATATTATTTAAATTATACTATAAATATAAATAAATATACAATCACGACTATTATTCTATATGTGATATATCAGAGGCTTTGTTATTTGTTACGTATTGAATTCAACTCTTGAGTCTTGACATGGTCATATTTCACTGGATAAATTACATTTATATTCGATGTGACATGGGAGAAGACAATCGCTAGCTTCAGATTAAATTAATTTTTCATTACTATTATACATATATATAGAATTCTATTAGTACATGTTTCTAAAAATAATAGCTCAGTTTCATTGTTTGACTTGTTTTAATTGCGGCGGACTTCAATATGTGGAGGACATCCTAAAAAAAGTTTATGAAAATAATTGCAACACGGCTGTGTTAAATTCATTGGTTGTATATATTCATAAAAAAAATGTTTTGTTCCCAATGACGCATGACTGGTTTTTATATAGATCATAATTAGAATATAATACAATCAACAATTATGTTAAACGTTGAAAAATGTGAGGTATCTGATGTAACCGAAATAAAGTCGAATTGAGTACCAACTGCTTTTTTCGAAGTTGGTTGTAAATAAAATATTTACAAGTATAATTAAAAGTTCATTAAATACAACTTATATCGTTAGTCAAAAGTACTCCCGACACGTAGACTGCTGCTATGAATGACACGGGACAATTAATTTGATGGAAGGGTGGAATTTAAAAATAAACTTTAAGACAACAATATCACAGTTATTAAAGCTTTTATACTAAATATAAAAACTCAAACCTTAAGAACGACTACATGTCGACTATTAATATTTCTTCTTTTATTATTAATTTTATTAATAACTTGACTTTCATAAGTGCCTAAAATATCCTACATGATAATTAAAATAGAATTTTAATTTAACATTTGCCAAATAAATGTATATTATCATTACTATATTATGAACCTATATTGAAGATAATTGAAGACCTATAAAAAGACAATTTTATTAAGCAGGATGTTTATGATTTATGAAACCAGGCAAGTTATGATATTCATGGTACATAATAATAAAAATAATATAACGAGGTTAGGAGGCAAAATAGTCTGTATTGCCTTAAAATTCTAATACTTGCCTTTAAACCATAAACGTACTAAATTAATAACGGTAACACAGAATTTTAACAGTAGAGATACTACGATACTCCACCATTTAAAACGGTACCAAAATTGATTAACTTGTTTCGGAAATTACTTCCAAAAATGCTTACAATCATTGTTTTGATTCTATCACGTTGATAAAATCAACCAATAACGGTATTTTTAGTACATTTACAAAAAAATTAATAAATATTTCCACCAGTTATCTGATATAACACAAACTGTGCTTAGTTTGGGACTAGACGACGCTCTGTAAATTGTTCTGGGCTATATATTTCCATATATAAACAAGTATAAAACTATTATATGTAAACACTATTACATGTACGAGCAAGGACATATCATATAATATCGTATTTGTAATTTGAAATTACTTTTGCCCCAACCACAGCCACCTATCATCACAGGAGATGAAAATAATTCAGACCCCGAGAAAGGTTGGACAGTAAATAGGAGGCTTATTACATCTGAGGTAATAAAAACAGAATAATGATGGTAATAAACATAAAGCTTGGTACTTACCAAAGATTGCTATCAAAATAATTGTCACCATTTTGAACGGACCTGAAAATTAGAAAAAAATATAAGATTATATCACTCATTACAAAATCTAATTATTTAATAACAAGAAAGATGCAGACGTAAGGTATTCAAAGTAAGAAATTCATAACGTAAGAATTTCTTTTGTCTAATATTACACAATAAATTGCCTCAAGGTGTTAAGTCCGCCATGTGCACCTTTATCTGTGTATTGAAATTTTGATAAGAAATAATAAATTGACTTATTGTAAATTTTCCAACGCAAACAAACAACTGACGATTTATTTTAGTTATATAATTTTACATGAACACCACTACAGACATCACGTTATCAAGTGACGATCCGATACCACTCCTGCTGGCAACGCATGACTATTTCGGAGGACTAAGATGTCATACCTCTTATCGTGTAATTTCTTAATCTTATTTTATACTTCAAAAACTAACAGCTTACAAAATAAGCTTTGTTTGTAAAAAATTTGTGCAACAGAAATATTTGATTTAACTTTAGACTTAACTAAATTTAGTTATTGTAAAATGTTGTTTACTTGAATGCTTCAGTCTACTGAAGCATTTTACATAATCTATCTCGGTTTATAATTGATTTTATTTTTAATTTATTTTATACGCGATTGCATCCGTATTGTCGAAATTAGAAGAATGAAGAATTGATTTATTTTGATTCCATTGACTTATTTTTTTAATTACTAATACCCGACCATGATGAATAAAAAGTAGCATATCGTTCTCCGATCCAAGCAGTTCAAAATTAATTAATAACTCTGTAGGTATAACATCTTATATTTTTAGAGGTACATAATAATAGGAACTTAATACTGTATAATTATATAGAACCACGTGTTACATGTGCTTTCATCTACTTTTTCAAGATACAAAAGAACATATATTCGTCCTCGAGATACAATATATCTTCACGTCAAATTTTATTAAAATTCGTTCAACTATTTAATCGTAAAAAGCAAACAGACATCTTTGCATTTATAATAGATACTAGTATGGAAACTGTAGGTCCAAAAACTATAAGACAGCAATATGAAATCCCTTACTCAGCTCAAGTTGACGCGGCAAACCTTACTGATACAATACCGGGAATTTTGCAAATGTAATCATTTCATACCGCTTACCTATGATCATATTGAATGGTCTATGTTCATATTAAACTTTGTTATAACAACTATTATAATATTGACAACTAGCTTTCGCCGACTATTTCTACATGATTTAAATAAATATACCACTACGTATAATGACGGGTCCAATTTTTTGTCTGGTCTGGTCGTTAAAACCCATAAAGTCAGAAATAAGCAACTTATGTATACATAAGTTGCTTATATATAATATAATTAATAATAAGTAATACACAACACAATCGGGCAGATAAATTACGTTCTATTAAAACTAAAACCCTGCAGTGTTTTATCACATTCTTTCAAACTATGCAAATATCTAACTTGAAAAATTAATAAAATAATTCAATCTCAACTTTAATTAGGATCCATTTCAGCAGTTTAGTCGAGAAAATGTAACAAACACACTTATAATATTCGTGTGATAGCAGTTGGAATATATATGTAGGTATATACATATATCATCCCAGAGATAATGTAAAGTGCTTTCAAGATATTGTGTTATTTCCTCAGTTCAGTTACAAACAATAAATACTCGTACATATATAGATAATCCACGAGAATAGATGTTTGATAGAATAACTAAATAGATGTTGATTTGTGATGGGACACACTACCAAGTTATCTTGAGGAAGCATACATCTACACAGGTATGTATTGTGATTTTTTAGTCTTCACTTCACGAGAGAAAAATTGCATATCTAATATTATAATTTAAAAATCTCGTGTCGCAGTTATATCGAACATATCCAAAACGTCTGGACAAATATTTAAGGAATTTTTAGTGTATTGTATGTATTTGGTAGGTCTAAGAATAGGTAGGCTATTTCTATAACCTAGGTGATAAGGGTGGCCTTATCCTTAATTAATTAATACGTTAACGTTTGCCGGGTCAGGTAGTACATAATGTACATATACATAACTGTGTACACAATACAGAAACAAATAAGTTCATAAATTTGAATTATTATTCTATTTCAAACGCGGCCGGTATTAATTGCAGATAAATATTCGGTTCGCCTGTTAAATACACTCCGATACAGTTTTCAATTTTAGTACTATTGTGAGCAGAACATTTGGACTTAATTATTTCATATTTAATTAAATTCTACCAATTTCAAAAGGACTTTGATTTTGATTAAATGTACTTTTAACGACTTACTGTATTTTATTTTATGTGCTAATATCCTTTGCAGTATATTTACTTCTTCAATAAAATATCTCGATATTAAAGATCCGTTTAAAACTTAATAAGAGGTACAATGTTTATTGTGTCTTGTTTTAAATAATTTTAACATAATTAAATTCAGCGTTATTTCAGTATTAGAATATTAAATTAAAGATTTTTTTTATTTCAATATAATGCAATATAATACAATATTCATACTGCATCAATATTGTGAGTACGCTAATAAATTTATATCGAGTAGGTATATATTAAATTTAAACTCAATGCATCCATATTAAATACTCAGTTTTTTTCCATACATACAATACCTTGCAGAAACTTTGTATCATATTTATAAATTGTATATTCAAAATACTTAAACATTATACTTTCATACCTACGCGAAATGTCACAAATTTTTATAGCGTAGTTTTTTGCACCAAACATTTTTATTTATTATAATTTGTAGTACTGTAAAGATGTTTTCTTTCTACCTCCATTGTCCGATAGAAAGCACTCCAATAAGATTGTCTGAACTCCAATTTTGTAATAAGTTTCTTTTATGTTTGGTGCATTTACGATATTTATAGCCACATCTATATAATATCGTAAAGGCTGTACCCGCGTCCTTTCTGGCAACAAAAGACGGATGGCCTTTGTCGGGTTGTAATGTACGTTGCGGCGTCCATCAGGACATTTTAATGGCAAGAATTTTCCCAAATCGATTCAATCGTTTTTAATTTATCCCATAATGTGATGTAGATAATGACCTCTTACTTTGCCCTTCATTACCGCTCTTTGATTATTTTATTCTTTGAAACAGATAAAAATCTATATACAGACTGTGAAGTCAGCAAAGTAAAGTCCTAAATTAGTAATAAATTCAATAAATTTTCTTGACAATGTCGGTCGAAGTATTAGAGACTACTTCATGAAAATGAAGTCTGAGTGATATGTTTATTAAAATTTAACTTTTAATATAAAAATTCGGTCAATCTTCGACTGTTCTTTTCACTGAATATATTATCAATTGGAAGGGTAAATGCTATAGGATTTAATATAAATAACTATTCATTATAACAAATGCATTGAACAATTATAGTTTAATTTAGAGTTAACCTCATTTATGACAGGTATATATGTATTAGTTATTTATCAGATTAAAAAATAATAGTTGTTGTTAAAATAACCTATGAAACTGACTTATTTATTGAAATTAAAAACTGCCACTTTAAAACTATAATAATTAAGTAATTACAACTAGTAATATAATTAGACTTTTGTTAAAAAGTTGTATTGTAATATTTGTACAATATACTTCATAACCAATCAGTATAAATGAAGACAAATTAGTATTTTATCGCTAACATACCTGGCAACTTTTGACAACATAATGAAATAGAAGCGGTAATGAATTGAGATTCATTGCCCACGAAATGGACGTCGTACTTCTGTCTCTAGATAATAAACATAACAGGTTTTTACAAACTACAGGTATATATTGTATATTTTTTATTCAAATGGGAATAACAAGCTGTCTTTCTACCCGAATATACCCGAGTATAGTCGTGTTCTTTTATGATATTTTTTTAGACACCTTCTATTAATAACTCCTTAGTTCATGTAAGGAAAATATAAATTTGAAAATTATATGTTCCTTGTCATTTTTAAACATTAGAAAATAAAAAACTGTAAATTAGACTTCAACGTGAATACGTGATAAATATTTTACTTTCCTCTTTTATTACTGCGCTATCTTCGAACCTTATTACAATTATAATTATTTATCTATATATATTGGATTTGGTGTACTACCCAATATTATCTCTATATATATTTCAGACGTTGTAAACTCCATCCCGGAGACTAGGAGACCTCAGAAGATCGAGCTGGTACTGCAGCTCTCTTAATAGCTACTAATCACTACGACGTTCCTTCTCTATGCCTCTATAGGTTGATGCATTCTAGCCTGACTCCAACGGCCAGCAATTTCTACCACTTCGCGTACTCTTTCGTCAATTCAATGAGCATGCAAATGTTGGTTAAATTAAATAATGCGCGATTTCCCAAATTCCTAATACACACTTTCATAAATTTTCATGAAACCACCAAATTGCAAAAATAGCTAGAGGAAATATGCTTCTTATATATTAAACAATAAAAGGCATTAAATGATAGACTTGCAGACCTTAATTGTAATAAGATAATATACAATACATTTTTAGCTAATTAAAAGAAGAGCCAGTGAAAATAACTATAAATAAACGAGATAAAATCTATTATATAAACAGCTACCGAGATGGCCAAAACGAATTACTTTTAACAGTTGAACTTAGCTCAGCGAGGTGCGTTCCATTTAGCCAACGAGTATACTGTTTCATTTGTTTGTGTGTACTAATTTAACTGTCAAGCAGAAATTGCGCCTTACGTGAACAAATGGTTTCCATGTACCGCGGCGACGTCTATAGACGCAAATAATAACATCTGATTAATTGTTACAAGATGCTAAAGAAAGACATGGCCCTTTGTTGTTCCTAGAGAATGCGGATGTTTTCACAATATTACCAACCTTATTGCTCTTACAAGGAAATAAATTTATGACTGTAAATATAAATCAGTGTATTGGTACTTTATTATTTAAGCTTTTGTGGCCACTACATTTCTATCGATAACTAGCTACCGACCGCAACTTAGCATGAGTGCAACTAATGTATTTATGAGTTATTCTTTTAATAAAATATCAGTAGTTTCTTATCTGACCAGATATTATATAATCGGTTAAATACTCTTAAAGTTTATTCATTACAAATGAATAGTATAATTTTTCCTCTTCATAATATTTCTGATATTTTATTCGTATATAAAAAGAAAAATTAGTTATATATAAAATCTACTCAATGAAAAAATCTTACAGTAAAGATTTTTTCATTTTTTCATTGAGAGTTCATTTTTTCATTAGTTATATATAATTTCTTTGACTTCATGCGGTATATTAAGTAGAAGCAGTAAAATTAACTTTTATTAAGACCTAAATAAATAAATATAATAAAATGTCGCATTAGGTACTTTTATTTAAGAAAATCATTGAAAGCGAAAAACAAATTCGTTTCACGGGTCTCATTATGACGACAGATGAAGCATTCCCGAGTGGTTTCCTTTCGCCTAATATTCAATTTAACGTCTGATATTACGGTAAAATATTCAATATCGGAAATGGAATCCCGGTCGAATTGATTCTAATGAGTGCTATTCAAAAAAGTCTATGCGCCTTTTAAATATTCATTATTTACTAATCACCATGCCGCGGAGGTATTTCAGTTGGATTGAACTAACGTATTTGTAGATCTATTTTAATGTCCATTGATTGTATATTATGCAAAACTATTATAACTAATGCGCTAATGTACAACAGGCTATTTTCTATTGGTAAAAACTAAGAGTTTTAAAAATAACTTGTACATAAATATATAAATGTATCCCTTCATGTAGAATTGTATTGAATTTCTCCAAAAAAACGGCCAAAACACTAATTTCGATTTGTTTTGCAAAGGAAATAAAAATATGTATAGTTCAAACGAAATTATACAGTATTCAAACACTCTTTTATGTTTGTCTAATAATACTTTTTACTATATCGTATCTTGTAGACACTAGACTGGTTGTTGTGGCAGACGTAGCACTTCGTAACCCAGTGCTACGAAATGCTACAGGAACATAAAGTTTGACGGAATTCAATTTTACTATTTATATTTAACTCACTATTGGATTTTGTCCTTTTTATTTAAATATTAATAAACTATACTTACAATTAGTGACATCTAAAAGATGTCACTAATTGTAAGTATAGTTTATGTATGTATAAGTGATTCAAGTTTAAAAAAAAATAGTTCACGCAAAGAACGAGTATAAACTAAATTCTATTAAATTTTAATTGAACCACCATTCAAGACAGTAAATACTATAAATTCCAAAAACAATACGATTATTCTGTCCGTTTAGTTTGTATTACTTGAATAGTTAAAAAATTGCGTCGAAACGAAACTGTGTTTGCTTTTTATAAGCTTCTGGTAGTTCATTAACAAATAATATCAGTTCAACTTAAATCTATTATTATATGTCCTAAATGATCGTGTACATTCAAAGTTTATTCAGAAACTGTTGAGACCATAGAGTAGAGAGTAGAGCTGTAGATGTGTTGCTTAGGTTCAGTTAAATTAATTTAATTCAATAACATTACGTAAAAGTGCTATAAAATTAAGTTATTTTCAATTGTTTTTAAAAAATAATTTTAAATATACTGATCAAGATTAAATAACCATTTAAGTAATTAATTATTATACATTTGCAATAATATTCAAGCAAATGTATTTTGTAAAACTGAATTATTTTTCATTCTATGACAAATTTCGAAAATTTTATAATTCGCTTACATAATTGACATTCACAGGTGTGCAGAGCACCTGGTAGTGTAAATTTCGGGTCCTGTTCCACAAAAAGTCTTACTCCGCAAAAGGCAATTATAATCTCGTGGTTTTTTCTTTTATACATATTTCTATACACCGGAGCATTAACCTTCGGACTTTTACGATTATTACATACACAAAAGATGCTAACAATTTATTCTTACATCTGAATTTATTGCACTAATTTGTTTTACAAAACATGGAATTCTTGCTTAAATTGTACCTTGTTGTTTAATGCTTTAAAACTTTTCAAACAACTTACCAACTTAATGAAACTTCCGCGATAACTTCCAGACATAAGCTTACAAAGAGTAAAGTCACTTTATCACTGTTATTTAGTAAATATCATGTTTTAAAGTTGGTAACAGAAGGGAAATTATATTACACACTAATATTTTACGTGTTAACTTCGCGCCGAAACTAAACGGGAGTAACATTGCAACGAGCGTGTGGGTCGCGCCGAGATCGGCAGCGCGGCGTGCGGCCGTGGGGGACGCTCGCGACTGAGTCGAGAGCAGCCGGCCGCCGCGCTCTTCCATCTATTTTATATAAACGCCTTTATATACCGATTTATATATTTACCCGCACTCATACATATTTAACTTTTTTCCCATTTCACGTCGTTTATTCCTCGTATGTAAGGCGCGCGGGCAGCGGAGCCGCGTGCGGCTTGTGTGTGTGCTCCCACCATCCGAACGCTCCGCGTTTCTATTTACGTGTTTTTAGAAAGGGTAAAGCTTTTATACCTTTCCTTTCTACTATTTCGTTCTGTAGTTGAGCGCAATACTCTGAATGCTGGCCCGCGAAATATTTCGCTTCGATTTATGAGTTTCATTTTTGTGAGTTATATTTTAGGTTGGAATGTTTTATCAATTTTTACCGATTGCGTGGCACCTGAATGGCCGTCAGGAAACGCTTTAGATGTTTTTCAATTAGGTACATATTTTTTATTCATAGTTTAGATATGTTTTCCATTAAATTCACAATTTATTTGCCAAATGTTTATAAAAAGTAATAACAAAAAACTTAAGGAAATTTCCATATTTTATTGTATCGGCAGAAACCACTACTAAACAAAAAGATATTACATTATTAAAAACATCCATTTATAGGTATAGTTGTTATATAAGAGCTCTGGTAATACTGAAATATTGCACTTAGACAACTATGTAACGTTTCCACCAGCACATATATCTCATACTATGTGTTGATTAACTGCCTCTAGATAGAATTGATTTCCTGTATTCCTGTAGCAATTTAATTTATAACGAACGTAGAGAGCTATCTAATATACCTGGTAATGCGCACCATGTTTGTATCTGTGTAATGTATAATATATGTCCGTGTATAATAATTTTATATATATTTTATGTGGATAGTTATTTTTATATATTTAATCAAATTAGGTGTTTTTTTTTTTGCGGAAGTCCATTTCACTATTTAATGGATTTATAATAATTCTATTACAATTAGCGTTGACAATATTATCCGAATGCAATAAGACTGAGTGCATAGCGGTCTCTATATTGCTTATCGCACACTCTCTTACTTGTATAATTATTTATTTAAAATAACAATGATAAAAAAAAACACAAGTTTCATTTTCATTCTTCTTGTCTGCGTTTCGAAAAAGTGGTAGAATATAAAAACATGACTATTCAAACGTGATTGTATTAAGTTTAATTGAATAAAGATTATTTCTATTTCAATTAGATAATGAAAGATTTTATTATACGTTAATGGCAAATAAAGTATACGAGCAATAAATTATATCTCTGTATTATCATCATATACCTACTTATAAATTAATTAATTAACCACTAGGTCCAACGCAATTATTACCATGTGGCCGGTGTCGCTTGTAGCGTTGTAGTGTGTGCACGCTTGGTAGGTATGAAGCCACATGTATATGTTAGTATTTTAGCTATTTCCGGAGTATGCGGTTGCAATTTCCTACCAAAAGCTATTAAACCTGTTTTCCAGTTATATAGACTATTTTGTATATTTGTTTATATTGTATTGTAATGTATATTTTTGATTATATATTGAATAGCCGACCTGCGTAACTTCGTCTGCACCACACTTAGTTGCTATTTATTATTATATTTTACCCAATTTACATAATATCTGTTTAAATTATAGCCTAGATGTTATTCTAATCTATAAGCCATATTACTGTAAAGTTTCATCAAAATCCATTCCATACTTGTTGCGTGAAAGAGTAACAAATATCCATCCATACTCACAAACTTTCGCATTTACAATATTAATAATAAGATTTAATAAATAGATATGGTAAGGTATGAGTGCTAAGAATTTAAATATATTAATTTATGTTATAATAATTTTCATATCCAATATTCCTGATGGGGGCGAAAATTGTTAGTAATGAGAAATACTGGTCCCATTGTAAATAATATACAATGGTTAACTTAGAATCTCTACACAGTCCTCCTTGGAAACCATTGTGGTTAACACCTAATGAATTCGCCACAATGCCCTAACTGACCTGCCTTCATGCTTGTCCTATCAAAGTCCACTGCCGCCCCAGCGAGTGCACTATTCCATTATTGTCAATAAACAGAACGTTTTCAATTTCCAAATATCTGAATAAGTTTTTGTACATATATCGTTTGTAGTTGTAAGGTTTTTATGGAAATATCTTTTAATGTTATTACTACGTAAATTTACCGATTAGTACATAACAAATATACATCAAATCACCAAATAAAATGTAAAAATAATGTAGTTAATAAATATATTGAATATAATTTCTATTTACTTTCTGTAATTTGTGAGCCACTAGTAAATTTAAGGATATTAGAATTTCAAATGATTCAATTTGTAAGTCATAGACTAGATTATAACAGGTATCTTACTTTTTCTTAGTGAACAAAGCAATTTAATGAGAATACCTTCCTCATCATCAAAAATCATTAGGTACATTTACTCAATGAAATAAGTTTACGATTCAAGTTTAGCGGTAACAGGGCAGTGGTAATACCGTTGATATTTCAAATTTACGACTTTTGGCACTATGTTGAGGGGCAGAGCGAATAGCCCTCCCATGGGGGGAATACTGTCCGTACCATCGATCACTCTTTATTACTCTCATCCAACGTAAAAGCGTAGCACTCAAATCGTTTCTGTACCGTATCAATACCCGACATACAAATTAATTTATTTCAACGCATGTAACTTGTAGTTTGAGCGAGAATATTCAAATGTTTAATATCTCTACTAAAAAGTTATTATCGAATCATTCATCAATCATTACAGTTTCTGCATATAGAAGGAATGATTAATTCTAGTGGTCGGACAAAGGTTAAAATAATTAGTTTAAATAATGAATTTAAACATTATTAACGTTTCATTGACAAAGATGAGTCTGTTTCAAAGGCATGGTAATATTATTTCGTAATTGAATGTACTTATTAAGCATTTATATAAAAAATAGCTTTCTGCACTTCTATATCAGCGTAAATTTTATAAAAACCACTATTCATATTATAATATCTCTATTTAAACAAAGGAAAGTAAATACCCTAATATATATACATACATGTATATTTTCTGTTAGACTTTATCAAACTGAAATATCCGTATAAACTGCAACGAACGTTATTGTTAGTTACAATTAATTAGTAATAAAAATTACGTTACATTAATTAAAACCAAGTTATCAATATTTTTTGAAAATTAAAAATGAGTCTGTCTGTTACATTTTCGCGACTACATTACTGAATGTATCGTAATGAGATTTAAGATGAAGATATCACTAGTAAGCACAAAGGTTATCTTTTATCTCAAACAATACAGACCAGACTTAGTAACTGGTAACTGTTAATAACTGTATAAAAGGCACATTCACATTACATACACTTGTGCTATTGACAGTGCAATTAAAGAGTCGTAAATAATGGCATAATTAATTTCAAATTATTAATTAATAATCACAAGTACCTATATTTACAAAATGAAGCCAGCTAAGTCGGTATATATCTTTCTTCTGCAAATGGTAATAATGAACAAGCTGGTAATACATCACGTGATCTATACATGACGGGTTCGGTGAAAAGGGAATGGATAGGTACTACTTTTCCTGAAGTGTGCTTGAAGTGTATAAATGGATTGTGAAGTATGACACCTATATGGATACATGAACGCCTATATGGATTTCCCACTCAAACTTTTATATGTTTCATATATTTAAATAGAATTGTTTCTAAAAACAACTTACAACTTGGTTAGAAGATAAATACCAAAATACCAATATAAATAAACATTAAGGTTTTAAAAGTGTCAAAATCATTTCATATCTCATCACATACAACGAAAATGCAAAGAATCCTTTGAAAATAACAATATATGCTTTTAAGAACAAAGTAGAACCCATAAATATTTTAGATGCATTTAAAATGCAGTTTGGAGGCATTGTGGTTTTGGCAAACGCAACCGCATTCAACTAAATGCGATATAAATAAGATATACGCAACAAAAATACACTTAAATTCCAACACCACGTCCAATAAAGTCTATTTAGTTTGTTTTGTTTTCTTACAATTTGTAAATACATGTTTTTATGTTTTTCATTTCTAATAGATTGAGTCAACAGCAGCCAAAACTATTTAAAATAGATATACTGAAATAGACTGTTATGATGAACGTACAGACAAAGTCGAATCGCAAGTATCCATTTTACTCTACAGCAAAATTAATAGCAATAAAAACCATATGCGGATAGATTGCTATCCGCAGTTTTAATGCGAAAAAAGGATTGTAATAGGTTGAAAGGGGAGACGAACAGTTGTATGGACGTATACTCATTTTTAAAGCTAGAAGCCTAAGACTTATATTTTAGGCTGATCAAATATAAATAAATATGCCATTCAAGGTAAAATGTGTAAAGATTTTTCCCTGATTTTTTTTGCCTTTTACCGTTACATTTATAAGGGGGTAAAATAAAATGGGGATGAAAGTTGGTAATGAAATTCATCATTTTTGAAGCTAGAACGAAGAAACTATTATACTTTTGCTTTTTAGGTTAGTTTATTAAATACCTTACTAATATTATAAATATGAAAGTAACTCGGTCTCTCTCGCTTACATGCCAAAAATACTAAATTAACATTGACTTTTTATAATTAGCCGAAACAATTACAAATGATATGCAATGTCACTATTTCACGTGGACGAAGACGCGGGCACAGATATAAAATAGTAAGTGGTGTTGTGCAATTGATTTATTTATTTTTGTCGTTTGAGTATAGTCAATAGACGATGTCTACAAATTAACACACAGACAAAGTAACAGTAACGTAAGCACGTCTAGTAAATATTAGTGGTATATTACTGGATTCTTTGTTTCTTCTACTATGAATACTTATGGAAACACTTATAATAAGAGATTTTTTTGTTTTAATATTTACATTTCCATATAATATAGTTAGTAATCTATTAAAATAGACATCTCTTCG